CAGGTTTTGTCAGCTGTAAGGCTCATGGCTCACTGGAAGACTAGCCACACAGCCACAGCAAGGTAGGCTATAGCCTACAGAAATGGTACGATAACACCTCTCAGTATTAGTTCCAGGTCTCCTATTTCCCCCAGGTCTGACATATAGATTATCTCTTTTGAGACTAACGAGGCTTGGAAGCAGGGAGGACAACTATTATAAATACTGCTTTATCTTTAAGCACCTGTGCCAATGTTTCTATAAGATACATTCTTAGAAAAATTTCTCAAAAGGAATCTTTAAGTTTAATAAGTATTGCCAAATTGCCTTATAATGATGTACCAATTTGCACTCCAAATGATAGTATATTATAATGCATGTGCCCTCACTCTCACAAACATAATTTTCAACCATTTACTATGTGAATGATGAACATTTCTGGTTTATTGTGCATTTAATTTAATTAGGAATGAGATTGAATATCTTCTCATTTACACTGGCCATTAAAATGTTTTTGTTTTTTTGGTGGATTGTTCATGTCCGTTGTCTATTTCTATTGATTTTCAATTTTCTTTATTTTTAAGAATTCTTTATATTTTAGATAAAATAATCCTTTATCATGTTTTAGTCACTGAAGACACTATTCTAGGTCCTGGGACTAGAATAGTAGTACACAAAGCAAATCCCTGTCTTTAAAACAAAAAAATACCAAACTCACTGCCATCAAGCTGATTCTGACTCACAGCGACCCCCATTGGGCTGCCCAGGCTGTAAATCTTTACGGAAGCAGACTGCCCAACCTTTTCCACAGAGCAGCTGGTAGATTCAAATAGCCAACTCTCTGGTTAATAGCCAAATACCTTAACCACTACACTATCAGTAAACCACTGCCTTTAAGGAGCTCAAATTCTAGTAGTGGGATACAGAGAAAAAATATACAGTAAAACCTGTGAAAGCCAGAAACTATTTCAGAAGGAAAATGCAAATCTTTTCCACTAATAGTCAAAGAAAAGTGGTAAGACTGCACCCTGTCAAAGGTGGAAATCTTGAGAGACCTGGAAAAACAAGGCAGTCTAGCTGAGTTCACCTCTCACAGATTCCACTGTGTATCTGTGTGAGGTGGTGATAGGTGTTATAAACAAATCAGGCAGGGAAGAGGGGGTCAGAAAGTAACAACTGTGTGTGTGTGTGTGTGTGTGTGTGTGTAGGATGCTCTTTTATACAGAATAGTCAGAGAAGGGCTCTTTAAGAAGGTAGAGATTTGAGGAGAGACCTCAAGGATGAAAAGGAGAAAGCCATGTGAAGATCTAGAAAAGAGCATTCCAAACAAAAAATGGCAAGTAAAAAGGGCAGAAACAGGGAAACTGGTTGGCAATGTTTGAGAATTAGCAAGGAAGGGCATGGGCTAGAGTGGAGTGAGCAAAGAGAAGTCAGGGAACAGGTCAGCGCTCTAGAGGGAGTCAGGTCTGGTAGGGGATTGTAGGCCATAGTGGTATGCGCCTTGGTGGTACAACAGTTTAAGCACTCAGCTGCTACCTACAAAGTTGGTAGTTTGAACTCACCCCATGGCTTCACAGGAGAAAAAGACCTGGCAACCTGCTCCTGTAAAGATTATAGCTTAGAAAACACTGTGGGACAATTCTACTCCGTTACATGGGGTCTCTGAGTTAAAATCAGCTCAACAGCATCTAACAATATCAGGCCACTGTAAGGTCTTGGATTTTATGTCATGTGAGATGGGAAGCCACTGGAGAGTTCTGACTAGAAGAGTGGCATGTTATGACGGGAGGCAGACGGGGGTAATATAAAGACTAGTTATGAGATCTTGAGACAATGCAGGTGGAAGATGACGCAAATATTTGCTGCAAGCAATTTCTCCTACTCTGACTTTATGTCTGTGCAATTTATTCACTGCATAATGGCACCAGGCTGAGGGAACAAGTAGGAGCTGAAATGCAGTCAAGCTCTGGTACACTGGTAAGGTACTGAATCCACAAAAGGAAGAGCCTTTTTCTAATTTGCACAAAGGTGCTATATATGAACCAGTGGTGGCACTAGAGAGTCGTTTCAACACAATCAGTTGTTTCAACACAAGTTATTGAATAATCCATTTTTTCTCATACTGATTTGAAATACCTCTTCTATCCTATTAAATAGCTTTAGCTTCTTGCTTCAGGAGCTCTGGTGGCATAGAGCCTAAGGCACTTGACTGCTAACCAGAAGCCTGGCGGTTCAAACCCACTAGCCACTCCTCGGAAGGAAGGTTGGGCAATCTATTTCCATAGTGATACTGCCATGGAAACCCAAGGAGGGGTTGCTATGAGTTGGATCTGACTCCATGGTAGGGTGTTGCATTTGTTGTTGTTAGCTTCTTGCTTTAGTGGAGCTCTGGTAGCATAGTGCCTAAGGCATTTGACTACTAACTATAAGGCTGGCAGTTCAAACCGACCAGCCACTCATCAGGAGGAAGATTGGGCAATCTACTTTCATAATGATACTGTCTCAGAAGCCCAAGAAGGGGTCTCTATGAGTTGGATCCGACTCCACGGCAGTGAGTTTGTTTTTTGGTTTTCTTGCTTTAGTGGAACCAAGGACCCCTGTTAAAGGTTGCAGTTTGCCATATTAAAAAAATATATATATACTAAGATGGCACTAGGGAAGTCTAAATTTTAGGAAGCAGATTGGAAGTTACTTTTTGGCACATTAGAAAAAAAATTAGTGCAGTTGGAGAAGAAAAAATCTTCATTTTCAGATACAACAGGAAAAAAAGCAGCATTTCCTTGCTGTCTTTGCCTAAAGAAGATTTAAGCATAAAGATATCTGTAAGTTATGATGCTAACCCTCTGAAGGCCTTTCTTATTTATATTGAGGAAATAGCATAACCAAAGCCGAAAGCTTAATTGTTCTAGGAAAATGTTTTTATTTCTAGATTCAGGTAGAGCACACTTTGAGTTGTGTGCAAGGTTTCTTGTACCACTGTCACAGAAGATGAAGGCTCTAACAGTGGTATAAAATTAGAGTATACGTAAAGACGCTGTGGAAGGTGAGGCACTATCTATATTCCATGGTCTGTTTACAAAGAAAAGTGAAAATCCTGTCTTTCCAGCTGTGTGTTGTTGTGTGCCCCCTCCCTCAACGCCCCCATTGTTCTGCTATTCCTGCCCCAAGTGAGCCTTTTTCCAAGGCAAACAAGCATAAAACGGAAGGGAAATGGGAATGTACCCATGTTGTGGTTTTACACTTAGGCAAAGGGGAAACCTAAGGCACCACAGGTCCTAAGTGGTCAGGTATTGTTTTCTCCCCTCCACAAAAAAGGGCTGGGGTGGGGGTGGAGTAAGTGGAGGAAAGGGTGGCAACACAATGGCAGATTCTCTAATGAAGTAGGTTCCTCAGGTCCTCCCCTGCTTCAGAGCATGCTTTCTGAAAACAATGTTTTATCCACGTAAGAGTGGTTTGTCAGACTTGCTACAAAAAGCAAGAAGCTGAAGAATTCACTAGATAGTAACTAAACCAGTGTTAAGAAAGAACATAAAATTACCGCCCAGCTTCAGAGTAATGACGGTATCTGTCAAAGCAGTGTTGAGAAACAAGGTGAGCAGAGGGGTAGAAGGGCTTGATTACATGAAAGAGGCAGATTATACCTTTACATTATCAATTTAAGAAGCAAATGTGTGAGTGTTTGAAGAGCCTTATTACTTTCAGATCTAAGTCATGTTTCAGTGCTTTAATTATATATGCTTAAATATTTTCAGTTGAGATATACTTAGATTTTTTGCTCTCCAGAAATCTTAGAGCAGTAACATTGACAACTAGAACCAAAAACAACCAAACTCACTGCCGTCAAGTCAGTCAACCCATCCTTGGGTTTTCAAGGTGGTATCTCTACAGAAGTATACTTCTGAGGAGTGGCTGGTGGGTTTGAACTACCAGCCTTCTGGTTAGCAGTCATATGCCTTAGGTACTATGCCACCCCCAAAAAACAAAAAACAAAAACCAGGCACCAGCATGGAAGCATGTTAGACTATTGTACCATGAACTGTTCATTGCCTTTTTCTACCAATTTTCTTCCTTTTCTCTGAGAGACCAGGTATAATTCATACTTCCAATATTTGGTGTCCAATATTTATTTTATCTAGACCTATACTCTCCCAAATTATTCCATGCTTCAAAGTTATTCCTTTATTCTAACTCTCTGCCTCCTCAAGTCTTCCAAACAACAAAACCCTCTTCTATTTCTTCACTGACCCTTGTCCGCACCAATCTACTCTGCATGTAACAGACAGGCTGCTGAATCCATTCAAAACCTTTTCATTTCCTTCCTAATAGTCACATTCCTAACGAAGAGACCCAGTACCAGCAGCACCACTAGATTATATAAATAGAACAAGGGGCTTGGTGGATAAAAGTGAAAACTTTAAAATATGAGCCACATGAACAATTTGCCACTCGAAACTTAAGAAAATGTGGCCTTGTGTAAACCATTTTACCTACTTTTTAATCTAGACCTCTTACTGGAAGGTCTGGAGGAATGGTTAGCTATTCTCTCACTATGATTCTATCATAACACTTCCAAGCCTAGGACATATAAATTTCTAAGGTAAAACACCTTCTCTGCACTATTCCTTCACTTCCATTTATTATCTTAATTTACAAAAAAGTAGATGAAATGTAAAAGCACAAATTTAACAAGAATTATTTTATTATTTACAAAATACATGGTGACAATATGGGTACATACCACAAATTACAAGAGGGAAAAGTACAGGGAAAAATGGAGACAAATGTGTTAAATGAAAAGGTACCCATTTGTGTGGAGTCCACTGAAAATAAAACAGTCCTTTGTTAAAGTTAGACCAGACCAAGAGTAGGTATACTGCTGTGTTAAAAAAAAAAAAAAATGCCATTAACTTAGAAACACACCTCTACTCAAAAGCAGAAAAGTGTTGGCAGTGTATCTAAATGTGTTCTAAATTAAACTATAGCAAATGCAGATCTAATGTTCCATAATACGGTCACTTGTTTTAGGCAGGAACCTGTGAGAGACTTGACTGCCTATCTTGCTGGAAGAGCAAAGCCCCAGGACTGATTAACTTCCCTACCTTCCATAAGGCTTTGTTCAGGTGACTTTGGAATGTGGTATCAAACACCTCATTCATTTCTGCTGAAAGTTCCCTTAGAACAGACACTGAGGATTCATCACTGGCATTCAGAATCCGCACAAAGAATTTATTCCACAATTCACCATCTTTTAGCCTAAAAACAATATAAAACCATTTCCATTAAAATTAGGCATATGAAAGAGTTCTTTGTGTTTAACTTGGTGATACACTTATGCCTCGAGATGATTTATATAATAACTAGAACTCTGGTATTAGGTATCACTTAAGTAATCCTTTGGAAGCCCAGGGAGGAAGTACAAAAAAGATGACCACAGTGGGAAAAGTCTTAACACAAGGCATGTAAAGGGAAAGTTAGTCTCTCATCTGAATCTATGTATTTCCTGTGTGCTTATTAGATGTAGCTCTTTTCTTCCACAAACAGAAGAAAACTGAACTCTGTCCCCTCTCCTCTAATCTTGCTAGAATACAGGCCATTGAAACCCTCTCCCCCACTGCTCCACCAGTGATTTACTGTCTTCACAATCCTCTGAGAATCTTAAGCTTGACTGAAGTAACTACCACTTAAATGGACATACCTTTGTTTATTTTTTTGATCAGAGAAACATCTATTATTATAGAAGGTAGGACTGTTAGGAAATCCCAACTGACTCCATCTATTTCTACTTGTGTTATCTGGACCTGCCCAGGACCACAGCCAACTGGAGACACCTGAATCGATCATATGTGTCTTACATTACATTTTAAGTCTATTTTTAAAGTAACAAAAGGGACAAATAAGGCTGGCCAAATTGTGGGGATGAGGAAAACAGAAGAGAAGGATATATTAAATCTTCAACACTGATCTCCCCCCACTAAAAAAAACCAAAGACTGTATCAAGTAAGTGATACATTGGTAAGCTTATGTATTCGGGCAAGTAGGCAGGCAGGCACTGCCTCTGAGTCGGATCCAACTCACAGTGACCCCTCCTTGGGTTTCCGAGGCGGTATCACTACGGAAGTACATTGCCCAACCTTCCTTACAAGGAGTGGCTGGTGGGTTTGAACCACCAGCCTTCTGGTTAGCAGTCAAATGCCTTAGGCACCACACCGCAAGAGCTCTTATAAGCTTATGTATAGGAAGGTAATATTAGCTATGATAAGCTAAAGGGGGAACATGGCTATTTAACAAGTTTTATTAGTAGGCTTGAGGGAGTACTAAGATTCTGAGATCAAGCAGTTCTTATTAAAAGATCATTTACTTCTTCACCAAGGAGATTCAGTTCTCTGATTTGGTTTTGCACATTCATTAAATAAATAATAGCCTAAAATCAGTGTATAATTAAAAAATTTAACTTCCTTTACGAGATGCTTATTAGCTTTTGTTAACAAAAGCTACTAAAAAGGGCTCTAGATTAACACCATTTGGTTAGAAAATCATTCTCACAAAATGTTTGCACTAACACGTCTAAGCTGAGAGGCTTCCATGCTATACTAAGTTGAAGTCTGTGTCATACATCAATGTCCATGATGATGTCCTGAAGTTTGTATAGTTTCTTACTTTTAACTGGCAATTCTTTTCCTCTGAACTAGATGTCCCATTAATACTTCAACAAAAACTGGTTGAAATGATGGAAATCATGCTATTGAAATAATGGCATTGCTCTGCCAAAGCAGAGGAACCGCCCAGGAAAAAGAGAGATTATCTGAATAGGCAAAGACCCTGAAGTCACTGATACTTACTCAGAAATATTTTGGCTAAGTTTCCAGAGGGACCCATCCCAGAAGACCTGTAGGTGTTCCTTGAACAATAGTAAATGTGCTAAATCTGCTATACCAAACAGGTCTACCTGAAATCACAAAAAGCACCATCAGCTAAAATAATTCTTTGCTGTTATTATGGCAGCCTATTTATGTAGAAAGTCAAGAAGATATAGTGCTTAACTAAGTTTATTTTATGATGTACATTTTAGAGGACTGTTTCTTACCCTTACAGTAAAGGGAGAAGCTCCCCAAGAAGTAATCAATGGAGACAACTCTAGGAATTATCTTCAAGAACAAAGGATGACAAAAATATCTAGATCGCCAAATGCAAATTTATAGATCTACTGAATTTGCATGGACTCCAGTTGTGATCCAAATGTGATCCAGCTGTGATCAAAATGTGGTCCACATGACTAGTTCAGGTACACGGTACATGATCAATCAGCAAATGTCCAGAGCTGAGTCAGAAGGGATTTTTGCATATAATGCCACTATACAAAACACTTCACATTTGTCCTAAGGCTCTTTTTAAATATTTCATTTAATCCTCTCAAACATTTAAATGTACACAAAACAGAGATTGTTATCATTATTTTATATAGAAGATCACAGAAAACCACTTGTAAAAGGTCACATGGATGGCAAGTGGTAGAAATGGCCCTGACACTTAGGTTACTGAGTTAATCATCTGTTTGCACATGTATGTGTATATTCTTCAGTATTGTGACATAAAAATGGTACATTTTGCTTGACTTGGTGATATGTGAAAACTAGGTCATCTATACCAGGCGAGACAATACCGGTAAACACTAGCTTTCACAGCTTAGATAGTAAGAAAGACCTTACAAAATCCTCTCCCTATTTACCCAGGCTTGTTTTACACTTACCTGGTAGGGAGAAGAACAGTTGGCCAGGATCTTTTGTCCTTCCAGGATCTGTACAGTCCGAAAGCCGCTGAGGGTACACACATCTAGCTGTACCCTAAGGTCAACACTGTAGGAAAAGTCCACTATCTTCAAAGCCTGATTCTTCTTATTAAAATCATAGGGATCGTGGATTCTGAGCCCAGATTTAAGAGAAAGAGATAATAAAAATAGGCCATGAAAAGAAGCTGCATAGCTGGTCTTTTTTTTTTTTTTTAAAAAAAAAAAAAAGGTACTGCAGGTGTGTCTTAGCTATGCCAATAGCTCCCTCCAGTGGTTTGTTATGAAAATGCACCTGTAAAAGCAGTGGCAGTGCCCACCCATATACATGGTAATGTCAAGATTAGTATGGTGACACCAAGTATATCCAAACCACAGCACACAGCCACCACACAACATCTATCAAGTTCCAAGATTATACAAAGAAAGAACTGGAGTAGAATGCAAGACTCTGCCCTGTACAACACATACTGGCACATATAATAACAATGATTTATATACATTGATGAGAATTATGTTGGGGAATATGAAGTTTTAAGTGTCACAGCCTTTCCTATTTACTATTATAGATTAGATTTGCCAAGTGCCATTTAAAGCCTTTTCAAAAGTTAACTGAAAATAATACAAGGCTTTTTGGTAAAGTACCACTTACACTGTAAAATTAACCTGTTTCTACTAACACCATATTCTATCTTACTCTTCAATTATCTGTAATACAACTTTTATTTCTTAAGAAAAATATGCTTTATGATACTAATTCACTACCAATTAATTATGTTTTTCTTGGGTTTATCCATGCAATAAAGCTACTCTTTATTAGCTATTAGCTATTCAGCTGGGAGAACATTCACATGTTCCTTTTTCTACTTTTCTTAACTAGTTTTCTCAAAATCATTGATTTATATTGGTGGCAAAACCTATATTCCTAAATACAGACTTTGACTAATTCAATCACAAACCTCTATAGACACAATGATGTATTTTAAAATTGACAATTGCTCCCATTTTCCTTGGCACAAGATTCAATTTTTTTTTTTTTGGCCACCATAAAATTATGATTTCCAAATATTTTTAAAACTTGGGAGAGTTAGGAAAATTGTTTCTTAGATTATTAATAATAATAGTAATAATAATAAAACCTTGGAAAATCTCCTAGCCCTCTAATTGGCCACTAATTCACTATTACCATGGGCAAGACATACCACTTTTTTGGTTCTCAATTTCTTAAGAAATTATATGTAGAAATTGAATTACATAATTCTAAAAGGCTTTTAATTTTTTGTGAATCTAAATGAAATTTCCCATCAAGTTTAGTAAGTCATGGCAAAGTAAAAGACAATGTTCCTGTGCTTTCCTAGAGTCCGCTGGCAGCTCAGAGGGTATGTGAACAGAAGGCAAACCCCCAATCCTAAAAAGGAATAGAAAATTCCTTTGCTTACAATTTGAGAACTCTACCGTTACCTTCTGAACTCTGTGCTATGAAAAGAAAAACTATACCAGAAGTTCTCACATTTGGAAACATATGAGATTTTTGGTGGTCGCAATGGCTTGGAGAATGTTACTTACATTTAATGGACAGGGGAAGGGAGGTGGTATCCAATCTACCCTGCAATGCTTGGAAGAGACCTATACAAAGTATTGGTTCATCCAAAATACCTATAAATGCCCAGGATGAAAGATGCTGCTACATTATGCCTGGGGAAACCATTAGGACTCTGCTACCCAAGAGAAAAAGGTAGAATAATCTATTTTGGCTATAAATGCAGAAATACATTGAAGGTTCTCTTAAATTCAACTATAACTCAGAATCTAAGTTCTCTCTCCTCTTACAGACTAAATAGTCAAGAGCAACATAAAGAACATAAAGCATCTTTAAACCAAGCTCCTTTACTCAAATGCCATGAGACCAGTGATCACAAAAAAGGTGTGCTGGTCTGCTAGTCCTTTTCACAAAACCAAAATCTTGGCCCACCTTTGCCTTGTATATTCTTCAACATTTTCTATATTTTCTCAGTTCTGTTTTCTTTCTTTTAAATCTGATTTGGGTCGAAGTTTACAGAGCAAATTAGTTTTCCATTCAGTAGTTCATACACCTTTTGTTTTGTAAGTATTTTCTCAGTTCTTAATACTTTGGCTTCATTTCTTATTTCTTGCTCTGTGCACCTCTTGAAACTGATAGCCAAAATGGGTTTAATTGGACATTAAGCCCCTTCTCTTTGCATAGTTTGGCACCCTGGTTTTACTAACTTCTCCTGGCAATCACCTCAATCTGGTCTATCCCAAGCTTTAGTCTATGAAATTTAACATTGCCTCGGTTTTGCCAGCATCCTTGCTAGATCTTCACTGGCCCCACTCAAAGGACTAGACAATCTATTTTATATCTTTAAAGAAATTTTTATCTCTTCTTGACAGGAATCATCCCAATACTAAAAGTGATTCTTTTATCTGAATCAACATGTTTCCTCAATCTGTTTTTCCCTCTGAACCCTTTTAAACTATTCCCAATCAGTATTGATTATTAGGTAGCAAATATTCTCTTCATGTATCATCAATATAGCATTTATCAAAAAGCACAATAAAATGGCAACTATTCATGTTTTTGGAAAAAGCTGACAGAATTATAAGAGAATGGAAAGGACCAACCTGTTTCTAAGAATCAGACTCCTTGGACTCAAGTCACCATGGACTATTTCTGCTTTGTGTAACTTCGCCACGATTGTTAAAAGGTCATAAACAATCAACACTGTTATTTCATGGGTAATAAATTCACTGTGTTGGAGAAGATCCTGGAAATAGAAGGAGAGAAAACTATTTCTTAAGTTGGAAGGTAGGCACACTAGTATATGTTTTATTGTAATTTTAAAAATTGTTCATGTAAACTATATACACTCTAGTATGTATGTTCCATATGAAAAAGTAAAGAAAACAAAACAAAAATTTCTGTATCTATTCTGTATTATATGCAACACCTTGACTGCTGCTTTTCATTCTCCCTTGCTGTTCTCTTCTAGAACACAGGCTCCTTGTACACAAGGTCTATGTTCTAGTTTTAGCAACACTATGATTCCCCCATAATATTGCAAGGATTTAATGATAGTGGATGAAGAGAACAAGGATGGGTCCTGGTCCATACAGATATGCTACACACTCATTTTAACCATTTTATAGAATTCACATCACTATCAAAATTGGCAGCAAAAACTTTTTAAGAACATATCAAGGAATAAAATTGTGTTTTTGATTTAAAAAATAATCCAGTAGAAGTTGTTGTTGTTATGTGCTGTCAAGTCGGCCCCAACTCATAGTGACCACTCCTTGGGTTTCCCAGGCAGTATCACTACAGAAGTAGATTGCCCCATCTTCCTTCCGAGGAGTGGCTGGTGGGTTTGAACCGCCAGCCTTCTGGTTAGCAGTCAAATGCCTTGTGCACTATGCTACCAGAGCTCCCCCAGTAGAAGTAGCATATATAAAGCAAGAGTGGCATGAGGTGATGATGATCTTCATAGTTAGGTGACTGGTTCATGAGAGTCCACTGCACAATCCTTGCTACTTTTGTAAATGTTAAAAAAATAAATAAATAAAATAACAAAAAGTAAACAAACAAACCCCAAAAGACTTTTGGTCAAAATCACTTGGCAAAAGTAAAGGATCAAAGCTTTTAATTTACAACTTAACTGGTCTACTTCTAGAAGATCAACAGAAATTTTCTAGTCAATTCCTTTGCTAAATGGAGCACAATCTCTCTATCTGAGGACTTTAAATTGTAAGCTTTTAGTATCATTGCTAACCTGAAGAGTGAAGCAGTTTATATATTGGTGCCAAAGAATACAGCCATCTTGGTATAGATAACAGCTACACAAATGATCATACTCCTCATTTAAACGTTCCTTTAACTTGAGGTTGATATAAAAGTCCCATGGGATAGGTTGAGAAGATACCTGTAAGACATTATATTTTAAAAATAAGAATAATTAGTCACTCCTGTGGCTTTCAGCCGAACAACAGATAGGCATATATGGGGTGAACATTTGTATCAGGTAGATTAACTCCTTGGAGTGATCAATCAATTGTGGGAGAACAGAAGGGCAGTGTTTGCACCAGCTCGGGGAGAGGGAGGGTGGTGGTGGGAGGGCAGGGGAGGAAAGGACACAGGGAAGAGGTAACTACAGGGAAGAAATAGGAAGAGAATTGTTACATTGCAGGGAATTGCAGTCAATGTCATGAAACAAAATATGTATGAAATGCTGTATTGAAAATGAATTTTCTCTGTAAACTTTCACTCAAATCACAATAAAAATGAAAAAAAGTAAGAGTAATTAGAATCTATGCTTATGTTTGTAAGACTGACAACACATTTCTTCCAGCCCTTCTGATACTTGGACAGAAATGTAACAGTAAAGGGATATTTTAAAAGATACATATATCTATAATAAAGAAGAGGATACAACAGTAACAAAATTCTGGAAGCTGGAAACAGAATAACAAGAGATAATAATCCACTTAGAAGACCCAAGGGAAGCTGATTCTAGCAATGGAGAAAGCTGAGGAACCCAAATTTAATTATAAGATCATTTCTCGATAGTGTATAATCGGCAGCACCAATTACTTCTGGGAGTAAGGGTGAGGGCAGATCTAAAAAGGAGCAGTTGAGCACCGCTGAAGAGGAAGTTAGACTTCAGATTCTCTCTCCTGCTCTATGTAGCCCTGCCCAGCAACTACTTCTCTCCCATTCCAGAAATTTATTCCCTAGAGAGGTTAAAAAGGAGGGGCTCTGGACTAGAAGTAACTAGGCACCACTGAGATGTAATAACTATATGGAAAACAAGAGAAAATTTTTATATCAAACATTAAAATGCATCTCCCACAACACATACCTCCTCCCTAGACTAATTTCCCCACTCAACTTTTAGGAAACTAGCAGCCAGGCTCTTATCTCCAAGCAGAAAATTAGAAGTCTTCTGACTAAAGACTGCAGGAGGTAGACAGTGGGAGCTCCAACAAAATGTCCAAGTAAGATCATCCTACAGTGAGGTCCTCAGCTATCAAGGCCCACCCATTTACACAGAATTTTTAATTAGCTTTCTAGTGTCCCACATTTAAATATGAATAGACAGCCAAGAACTCATAGAAAGCCTCTAATACGAAATACAGATCAAAACAGACAAAAGCAACTAGGAGAAAATAGACAATTCAGGAAGAAATTATTTTTAAAGCATCATTAATATCCTCAGGGAGATAAAAATATTCCATCTCTGAAATGAATAACAGAATGCTATAAAGAACATTCTGAGAATGGGAAAAAGCACTTGCAAATTAAATACACGATGAGAGAAATAAGAAACAGTAAAAAAACTGAAAATAAAGTTGAGAAAAAAATTCTAGAATATACAGCAAAAATAAAAAGAGCTGGAAAATAAAGGGAAAAAGATAAAAATTTTAGAGCATCTGTCCAGGAGACCCTATACCCTAATAAAAGGAATTCTAGAATGAGAGAAAAGAAAAAGTTAAAGGGAAGAAAAAACTTTTCTTGGAAGAAAATCTCCCGAAACTAAAGGAATTTCCAGATTGAAGTGGTCAACGACCTATTCAAGTTATGTAGTTGTGAAATTTCAAAATATTGGGGACAAAGATAAGATCCTACAAGGACACAGAGAGAAGGAAAAATAGTTTCACACAAAGGTTCAAGTATGAGAATGGCAAAAGACCCAAAAGAATTGCCAGAAACTAAAAGACAATGGAGTTCATCTCCAAATTCCAAGAAAAAAAAACCCCTTTGAATCTAGAATTCTAGTTCCAGCCAAACTATCAAACAGGTGAAAAATATATAAGGAATTTTCTGACATGCAAGGTCTTTAAAAAATTTATATTACATATATCTTCTCTCAGAAAGCTACTAAAGGGTTGTTGTTGTTGTTATTTGCCGTCGAGTTGGCCCCAACTCATAGCGACCCCTCCTTGGGTTTCTGAGGCAGTATCACTACAGAAGTAGGATTGCCCAACCTTCCTTCCGAGGAATGGTTGGTGGGTTTGAACCACCAGCCTTCTGGTTAGCAGTCAAGTGCCTTAGGCACTATGCTACCAGAGCTCCTACTAAAGGGTATGTTTCCTCAAAATATAAGGGATTAAACCAAGGGAGAAGGAAAAATGGGATCCAGGAAACTGTGCATCTAATATAAGAGGTTAAAGCAAATCCCCAGGATAATGGTGAGAGGAAATTTCATAGTGACATTGTGCATGTCAAGCCTAGACTATCATTTGTCCAGATTGGAGCAGACCAGAAAATTCCAGGAGACATTTCCTCAAAAAGATAAAATTGATAAATACTTAATATGTTTGAATGAATTGAGGTATTTATACATTAGCCTTTTTGATATCTGATCCTGGTCTATAGTGATGGCCATCTCTTGACAGCTCATCATCATCTCTGACTCACAGAGACCCTTCCTTGGGTTTCCAAGGAGGTATCTCTACGGAAGGAGATTGCCCGATCTTCCTTCCGAGGAGTGGCTAGTGGGTTTGAACTGCCAACCTTCTGGTTAGCAGTCAAATGCCTTAGGCACTACACCACCAGAGCTCCCTAAGGAAGCTTAGAGACTATTAAAAGGATCTGAAGGTACCCTAGAGCCAGAGACACTGCTTTAAAAAAAAAAAAAAAAAAAATCAGTTGTCATGAGCTATAAGTTACAGCTTAAATCTACACTATTTAGAAAGTAGTTGAAATGACAAAAAAATGGGTCCCACCTTTATTATGGTTAACTCTGCAGAGTTCCTTGGTGCCACCCAGAATAATTTGTAATCTTCACATATTAGGTATTCTTGTTTAATGCAATAATCTTCATTACCTGTTGAGAAGATTTGATTGACTCCATTTAAAAATCACTGTGAAGATTTATACACTCCTAGCCTTTACCTTCTTGTTTAAGGGCTAGAGGTACTGTTATTTTTGCAAGTTAGTAGCACCTAGAATACTTTCCAAAATCATTTGTTAAACAGTGAAAGAAGGGAACACATATATAATTCCTATTATTACTGGAACAATGAACTTATCAATATGTCAACTTCTATACAGGTAGTCCCTGACATATGACATACTCAATTTATGATGAGCTGCACTTTATGATCTTCTTTTTTTCGGTCCATCTTATCGTTAACTAAATGTACCACATACTGTGTTTCAGCACATAATTTGCTGATATCATTCTCACATGTTCACTCACAAATGTTCAAATTTATTTACTGTTCAAAACACTGCAGTATAGATTTAGCTTTCTGAACTAAATCAAGGGCCTCCGTTGCTTAAATACATGGACCCAATGTTGATCACTTTGATAAAGTTAGTAGGCAGATTCAGGAAGCAGTGAGATGTTACAGCAAAATATATGAAGAAAAAAGGAAAAGTACTAGACACACAACTCTCACTAATTTTCTGACTAGAAATGCCATCCCCATTCCCAGGGACAATCCAGATGATTTATAAGTTTCCACAAGTGAAGTTATTACTTCAACTGACAAAATGCCATCATTCAACTCTTGTTCATTGTCAGAGTAAATTTTCATGATTTATATATATTAAAATAATGTAT